CTTATCTTCTTTCCCACACTTTATACGGGGTCTATATTCTCGGAAATAATGTATTGTCCTATAAAGGGCAGAACAAAGAAACAATGAATAGATGATGGTGTTGAAACAGGTGCTAAGTGCGTCCACTGTCTTGTCTATAGAATTAGATTCGTTTTCTATCTGGTTTGTGAGGAAACTTTGGAAGCAAGCTTCGGTAAAACTCGTGATGCCAAGCAACTGTTAGTAGTTAGTATTCATTGAATATTTAACTTATTTAAATTCCCATTTTGTTTCACGCTAATGGGCCGTAGTATCATTTTTTTCACCGTACTACTGATACGGACATTCGTACTACAGGAGTGGAGTTCACGTTAGGTTAGTTTAACTTAAAAATTCAGAACTGCTGCTTCAATTTAGGTATCAATTTTAATTTTATCTCTGTCGTTGTACAAAGTATTTGATTTTATAGTGACAGAACTATTCTTGAGAACGTCTTAACTCGTCGAGTACCGTCATTATAGACACAATTATAGAACAATAGGTTGCGGTCACTGGTGACCTCGCGGTGTTTGACAGTTTAAAATTGTATTTGAACATTAATGCTATAAACTACTACAACAGACTGATGTATTATGGAATATTGAAATAAAATATGACTACCTTCTCCAACTAGATTTGTTATAAATAAAGAAACTTTAAAATACAAACATTAATAAATTATGACATTAATAAAGATACAATGTTCTATTCCTCATGATTTATTTTAATGTCTCAATGTATTTTTTTAGTCCTAGCACAAATAATTTTCTTATTTAAAAGGAAGTCCCTACATAAGATTTAATAAAATAACAAAGTTTTGCAATAAAATTATTTATTTAATAGATTCGACACAATATACAAAACATACAAGTAAAATTTCATTCCGCTGTGTACAATTAAATTTAAATTTACAATACGTCTTACAACTTGGTACTACACTACTTATATTATAAATGTACAATCATCTCGTATGTCTAACGCCCTCTTCCACATTTTCCTCCTGTGTCTGCCGCCACGAGTTGAGATCGTAACGTCTCCTCAGGTTATTTCTTGCCGTCCAGGTTTCCATTGTGTCTCGGCCGGCAGATATACGGTTTCTCTGAGCAATTCGCGTCTTGGTGATTTTCGAAGTCCCTGTCGATACCCCTATCGCGGTGGTATCGACGCTGGTACAGACATCTTTATGGACACTTTCCACTTGCTCAATAACCTCTTCTTTCTGCTGCCGCCATGAGTTTAGATCGAGTCGGCTTTTCATGTCAATTTTGGAATGAACAGCGTCGTACTTGTTTCGTCTAACTGACGCTGTTCTGTCTTCCTTTGATTGCCGAGCAGCAGCAGTTGATTGTGGCTGTTCTACGTCCTTTTCGGGGCCCTTTGTCCAAGATCCATAGCTGACTTCACTATTTTCTTCTGTGCTTATTTCGAGATGATCAGCATAGAACTGTTC